GGCAACTGATGCTCGCACAGCCCGGTCCCCGGCTGCGGCTGCTCACCGTCCTCTGCCAGCCGTGCAAAACTCACCGTCCACAGCTCCTCTGCGCAAGGTTACCTCTGAAACGCCCCGTTTTGCATGCTGAGTCTTGGCCAAAGCCTAGCTGCAAATTGTGAGCCTGGTCCGTAAAACGGAGCTGGCAGCGACCAGAGAACAGTGGAGCAGCAGCATTTAGCCGCAGAAAGCAGAGCAAGAATCGCTCATAAACACACAAGCATATCAAGGCAATTATGCAAGATAAACTGTCAGCCAGCCAGGTTGCTAGATAGTGATAAAATTTCTCCTGTATTCCTCTGATTTTCTCTATTTATTTTACAAAGGACTCGACTGCTGTCCCATTTCATAGTTATTTTGCAAATGTCTTTACTGATCCTAAACTGCAGGTTTCATCCCTGGCAGACCACTAACTGCAGTTATGTTTGCTGACGGTATGAGCAAGTTTTCCTTCTGAGTACATCAGGTGAGTCTGTGTGAAATATGGATAATGTTTACTTTAATATGCCTCAGGGGAAAAAAAAATTACTTCACTAAGGAAAAAGTGTGAAGTTCAAACAATAAAAATCAATTTTTTAGCTGATACTGTGGGTCACATAATGATAAAAAATCAACAAATATTTTACTAGTTGAGGAACTGAACAAGTCAGTCCTGAAGCAATCAGTATTCAACTTTTCCAATCTGGTACAAGAGAATTATTTTTTACTTGGTTGCTACATCATTTAAAAACTAATTACTTTTATTTGCATTTCAGTAACAATCCTTATTAAAGACTGGGGTCTTACTGTGCTGGTTGCTGTGGGAAAACAGTACGGAGGGATCCTGTCCTAAGGCACTTGCAGCCCACGAGGTAAATTGATTTTAAAGGTTCTCAGACCACAAGATGACGTGCCATCCACTCTGAGGCACTTTCAGGTATAATAAAGAAAAAATAATTGAATACAGCAGGTAAACTTAGTGAAAATAGAAAGGAGTAGAAAAAAGCCAGCTTAAAACCTGCTTTAAAACAAGCAAAATTAATTTTTCTTAGAGTTGATATTAATCAATAGAGTTAGAGTTGATACATCTAAAATTTCTAAGATATACATATACACATACACATACACATACATATACATTTCAGCAAGTTATCACAATATAACATAACATGTTGTGCAAACACATTCCAAAATACTTGACGGTTTTTGTGTGCATTTTGTGAATTCAGCCTTTCCCCCATGGTTTGCGTGTAACCCATGGTGACTGCACTGGGGACTCATCTGTACTCACAGATTATTACTTCCTCAGAAAGTCATTACTTAGCTTACACTTCCACTTAGCTGAATCAGACCCTCTCTAAAGAGGCAGCAATTTGTACAGAGTTGCAAGGATCAAGGAACAGTTACTAAGCAGAAATGTAGTCTATTATTTCCCCCAGCCATAGCCCACGCTGTAGCTCAGTCCTGTGAAAAGTTCTTTGCTCGCATAGCAATGGATGTTCTTCCAAGAAATTGCTTTATTGTAAGGGCTCACTGTGACTTTTTCCTTTTTTTTTCTCCCTCACAGAAGCCGCTCGCCCTATGAACAGTACATACCTTCCAGAAAATGCCTTTCAATTCCAGCACCTGCAGAGCTTCATGAAGTTATTTATTACTTTTCTATCCCTCTTTATCCATATCTGGTTGCCCTGTCCCTCATTGCCAAAGTCTCAGCAGTGTACTGCAACACTAGTAAGTTACATAATGTACATTACTATGTAAGTTACAGCCACCTATATTTGTGTCTGTTGGTGATTTCTCATGAACCTAAGACCATCTCTCTTATTTTAGCTACATTATAGCAACTACTACTCTCCTATATGTCTTCCTGTAAAAAATAGGGAGATTACAATACACTTTGTAAAAATGTATGCAAAAAATCACGTAGGGAAATTAACAAATAGTCTAAGAAGGGATCAATAGGAATTGGAAAAATAGAAAAGAAAATCAGAAAAAACTACAGTGCTTCCCTTTTAATTTAATAATATTTGAGCTTTCAAAATGCTTTGGTAAAGGTACAAACATTTGGCTACAGAAATACATATAGTTCAAATGAGAGCAGGCACAGAAAGCTAAATGTATTCGCTGAAAAAAGGAAGCATATGATAAAGTTTGTGGTGGTATGAAATTACTAAGAGTAATATATGGTAGTTACTAACCCTTTCCTCATTGATACACTCTCTGATTCTGTATACATGACATTCTTCCATCCCTGAGTAATTTACTTCTCTTTACATTTTGATGTCCAGTTCTGTTTTTTCTACAACTGAGATGTGTTGACAGTTACAACCACCTCTTACTGCTTTTGTCTTTTCCCAAAATATTTCTTCCATCCTATGTCTACATCTCTCTCTTCACGGAATTTCACCAATTTATTCCTGATGAAAAATGACAAAGAAGAACTTGATCCTCTTTCCCCGTCCTCATTTGGCTGGTGCCCCCTTCCCTGGCTGCCTCTTCCCAATTACAGCACCTTCTTACCTTGACTTGGGCCAGTGTCATCTCCCATTTCCCCATCTCCCATTTCTCCCATCTCTCCCATCCTGCTCTTGTCCCCTCTCTTACTTTTCCTTTTTGTCTCTCACTCTTAAGTAGTTTTCAGTTCTCACAATAAAAGCATCTAATCCTCTTCTTGTCTTAAGTCCATACTTGACCTCATTTGCCCCTCCAATTGCTCCTTCCTCTCTCTGTCATCTGTAATTCACTTAAAGAGCTGTTTCCAGCCCCTAGAGTACCTCTCCTTACCCTTATTCCCTCCCTATCTCAAATCTTACACTACAACAGCTCTCCATGAAAGTACTTCATGACTTTCAGGCACTAATTTGGAGCAGCCTGTGTTCCTCAGGTTCCTTAAACTGTTGTCACAGCTCTGTTGAGAAATGAATCTTGCCCTAAGTGAAGTCCTGCTCATCATTTTTGCTCCTACTCCGTCCTTTCCTCATCACCTTCTAATTTATTCTGCAAGATTTTCTTGTAAAGCTTTTCATGCCCTCATCAGTCTCTATTGGTCTGAATGTTGTTCTCTTCTCCTTATCTCTGGTATTCTCATCTCTGAATACAAAGTCAACTATCACATGTTTCTAGGAAGAATACTTATTGATCCACCTCTTTATTACCTCCTTTTCTGAGTCAGATCTTGGATTGTCTAGCTTCTGTTTGTGATGTTTAGGCACCAACTCAAAGTAAACATGGCTAAGATAATGTTAAGTGGGTAAAAAGGTAATGCTCTGTTTAGCTTTCACTGCTGGAGACAACACTGTTACCTGTCATTTGAATTTACTGATCAGCATTATCTTGAACCTCTTTAATTCCTTATCTAATAATTTTTAATATATTTTGTAGACCCATTCACCTTCAAATTCTCAAAATTTCCCCTGTGACTACTACAGAGTCTTTCTTTAGCCTTTAGGAATACAACATAGACCCTTTGTGACTTCTCCCTCCCTACCATATTTTGGTCAGCAGAGAGTTGTGGTCTCCCTATTCCAGCTGGCCTGTGATGCCCACCTTGGTGAATTTTCACTCCTGCACTTTCATAATTTCTTCCTGATGCTCTGTTACTTTCTACAAAAGCCTGTAAGGCTAGTTCTTTTCATCTGAACCTGCCTATAGGCATTTACTGCTTTATATGGAAATTATAATCTATTCTGGGCAGCAACCATTTGTACAATATCTAGCACAATAAATTTCTGGCCCTAGGCTGAGATTTCTTTTCTACTGCTACAATAACAGTAATTCTTAAAACACTTAAAGCAGCACATCAGATCAGAGCTCCTCAATCCCCTTCCCATATCTGTCACTTCTGTAACACCTCAGGCACACAACTAGGGATGTGGGTTACTGTTAAGAACTGGGAAATTCAAATTTGCAGGTTTGCTCTTGTGCAGCCCACCCTCTGGTCAACTTTCTGTATATCAGAAGGCATCAAAGGTAGGGTGGAAAAAAGCACTCTCTTCCCTAGTTTCAATTTATTTCCTAAATTACTTGTCTTGCAAAAGAAAAAAGCATGTATTGCATAGCAAGAGCCTCAAGGACTGAGTTCTCTTCGCTTCTGATATTATTGCTCCATAGCTGACGGCGTCTATATGCTCTCGCTCTTAAGCCGAGCGTCGCCGTGAGCCCGAACCAGCTCTGGTAGCCCAGAACCCGGAGCGCGGCGGGGCCGCTCCCGGCTCTGCCCGCTCCCGGGGGCCGCTCCCGGCTCTGCCCGCTCCCGGGGGCCGCTCCCGGCTCTGCCCGCTCCCGGGGCCGCTCCCGGCTCTGCTCGCTCCCGGGGCCGCTCCCGGCTCTGCTCGCTCCCGGGGGCCGCTCCCGGCGGGGCTGGCCGGGCAGGGCAGACGCTCCGAGCGCTCCGAGCCGCGACTGCAGCGCAGACCTGGGCGCCTGCATTTCCTTAGCGGGGCCGGAGTGGCGAAATTCTCCTGACAGCAGGAAAATGGGTGGATCGGCGCACATCCTCACCGTGCACACACATCGTGTGCACGGTGCATATATCGTGTAGGTGCATATATTGTGTGTGTAGGTGCGCACAGGGTGTGCAGGTGTGTACACAGCGTGTGTAAGTGCACGCATAGGGTGTGTAAGTGCATATACAACGTGTGTAGGTGGACACACAGGGTGTGCAGGTACACACAGGGTGTGCAGGTGCACACACGGGATGTATAGGTGCACACAGGGGTTGTGTAGGTGCACACACGGGATGTATAGGTGCACACACGGGATGTGTAGGTGCACACACGGGATGTATAGGTGCACAGACAGGGTGTGTAGGTGCACACACGGGATGTGTAGGTGCACACACGGGATGTGTAGGTACACACACAGGGTGTGTAGGTGCACACACGGGATGTGTAGGTGCACACACGGGATGTGTAGGTACACACACAGGGTGTGTCGCAGCCGTTCCCCTCCCCGCGATGCCCGCTCGCGTCTCCCGCACTCACCGGGGCGCGGGGCGCCCTGCTCCCGGCCGGGGCCCTCGGCGCTGCCGCCCTCCTGCGGCGGGCTCTCGGAGTCCGTGTTGGTCAGCCAGGTGGACTCGGTCTCCCGCGTCCAGCTCTCGTAGTAGCGGGGCTCGATGGCGTCGGCCCGGCTGCCCCCGCAGCCCATGGCGACGCCCCGCTCACGGCCGCCGCCGCCGCCCGGGCACCATCGCCTCGCGGGCACGGCCGCCCCGCCGGCCCCGCTCACGCCCTCAGCACCATCCCCGCTCGTCCAGGTCTCCCCGGCTCCGCTAGCCCTTCCAGCCCTTCTTCCCGGCTTTATTATCTCCGCTGTCCCCCACCCCGACTCCTGGCTGTCCCCTCCCCTTCTCCTCCCGCAGCCCTCTTCCCTCCCCTCCCGCTTCTCTCCACTCTCCCATCCCACCGCCTCCTGCTCGTCCCCGATCCTTTTCCCCAGCCGCGGGTGTTTCCCAGAAGTGGGGAATGCTGGCTCTGCCAGGCCGAGCCCCTCCGCTCCCCTCCGGCCGGGGCAGACAGACGCCGCGGGCGGGCAGCAGCTCTCTCCTCCCCGGTTAGGGTCTGCACGGACAGGATTTACACGGACACGGCAGCGTGACCCAGCCGGCACCGCACGGCAGCCCCCCGGCCTGGTCTGGCACCCAGCTCGTGTGCCCCGCTTGGCTCTGGTGCTCCGTTTCACTAAGCCATCTATCCCTTCCCCGCTCTAGCAGGGAGAGCCTTGCTCCCACTTCGGCGCTGCAGTTTGCGGCTGTATAATTGGGAACTGAAGGTGCAACACTGAGTACTCAGCTCCAGAGATACTTCCACTCTTTCCTCTTGAATACTCACTTATGGTAAACAACCAAGAACATGACACTCCTGCAAAACAGACTATCATTTAAGTTTATGCTTGGATAATCTAAATGACAGAGATTCTGCACTGAGTCATATTGATGAGGGTTGCAGTTTGTATTGCAAGACCGGCTTCACAAGGTCCCTGCAGGGCTGGAACCAGCCCCATGAACACTGTCACTGTGGGATCATATCCTGAAGGGGAGACTTTATCCCAGGTAAGTGTTTTTCTGCTGGGATAACTTTGCAGTAGGGCAGCAGGAATGACTCTTTCTCCTATGAGAACTTACAGAGCAATAGAGAAATCGTGTTCTGCACTTCATGCCATTACACAGTATGGCTGTCAGCTGAAAAGGATTCGTCCATTGAAACCCAAAATCCAGCTATCTGGTCTTATGGGAGCTGCAAGTAGGAACACAACGTCTCTGGGGTAAAAGTTCTTGTCCCTAAGGCTGGCTCAAGATCTTTAGGAGGATCCCATAGGCCTTAGCTTTGCATCCCAGACAGCAGGTCCTGTGTTCTTGTTCTGAAGGTATTCAGATCAGAGGCTGCTGTCCAAGCTGCCAAATCACCCACTGTGCTTCCCAGAACAGATGACCACTGAGGTGTTTCTAAGCTGCTTCCCAGCCAAATACTGACTCACAGCAATCTTACTTTCTCACCGAGGTCTGATGAGATTCCTTACCCATGCGGGAGCTGCCGACAGCTCTTGTCCCTGTACTTGTCCCTGCTACCAAGGTCCCAGGGTGAGTGGGGCAGTGATCTAGTGATCTGAGCTACTTTATCATCACTGTGGTGATGTTTTGGTAGATTAAACATACTTTACTTTTATTAAAAGAGAATTTCAAAACAGAGTATATTTCAATCAAGCTGCTTCCCAGCAAATAGTCCCCAGGGCAATGAGATATAATGGTGTCTGAAGCCAATAAAGAAGCCTAACACACATCCCCCTTCCCAGGAGCTGTGTGTGCCCTAGGTAAGCACAGCACATGGCCCAGGAGAAACTGCCAGACATCCCTGAGTCTTCAAAGGAAAACATGAACAACACATCCGTGTCTCACACTGTAATTGTGCAAAACTTCCTAGACCAAAAGCTCTAAATGAGGAACACACTGGAGCAGAACCTTGGGGAAGCCTTTGTATTTTGTTTCATTTTAACTTAAAAGTTTAAGGGGATCTGGCAGGAAGCTGCCTGCTGGCATGTGTGCTTTCACATCACTTTGATTTCAGTTCTAGCTGTACTTGCAGGAACTTTGTCTTCTGACACTTATTTTTTCTAACACAGTTTTCAAACCCTTGAAAAACCAATGGCAAGAGAGCGACAAAAGGCTTCTCTTTCTTTCCTGTTTACTATCACCACTAGAGAGGAATTAAACCATAAATATGAAGTGGGGTCTTAAAGCATTGTATTGAACCATGTTCATTTTCCTTGCACTAGTATTTCTTATCACCTTTCAAATATCCACTTTTGGTGAAACATTGAGAAAATTGCTGCAGAAAAATAATAATGTAACCACTACAGATTTCATATTTAAGCTTCTGGTGTAATTTTGATTTTGAATTTAAAAACACACTTTCAAATAAGATTTTTTGTATGACTAAAATAAAATGTTTGCTAGCTCTAGTAAGTAAATGGTTTAGTTTTATTTTCATCTGCTCCTAGTGGAACCAAGAACTACCTTTTGAAACTGGAATTTTTTTTTTCCACAGCTAAAGGAACTTCTATTCTATGGTGTGTTTAAAATAAATTTAAGAGACTAGGAGAAAAAAAAGAGGTTTGCTTTCGTTTGTTAAAATAGCCAAATACAATTGTGGGTACCCTTTTATCATTTTCATAATTCATTCTGAATTATTGAAATTTAGTCCTCAGTGCCAACTGTGAAGAGCACAGTGTTGATGGATCTGCACCATTCTGATTCCCTCCCGAGCTAAAAAGCAAACTCTGAGGCACACAGGCACACAGGCATTGTGTAGAGGGCGTATGCTGTAGCTATAAAATACCACAGCCTGTGGCAGGGTGGTGCGTGTTGGCTGGCATGAAACAGATGGTAACATCTTTAATACAGCAAGGGACCAGTCCAGGGGTATGAATTCGATAATACTAGTTTTACACTGGGAATCCTATTGTGAAAGAAAGTGGACAGAAAAAGACGTCTGCCTCCAGAAACAGAAAATACCCAGGATCAGATGAATCCTTGGCCTGACTCCATCCCTTCCAGCAGTGTAGTCAGATGGGAGATACTCAGCCTGTGAAGCTGGGTGGAGAGCAATTGATGCAGGGCAGGAAGAGGTTGGTGGCAATGTGCAAATGAAGAATTGAAATCCTCAGAACTCTTGAGGGGAAAAACTTTACAATTTGATTTTCTTCCTTTACTTCAGCACCTGAAATGGTGTAGCCTAGCAGGAGAGGGATTAAAATGCAATTTTTTGGATCAAGTTTAATTTGTCATGCTGTTACCCTCACGCCAGGAGATGATGAAGACATCATAAATCTGACCTCTCTTCATTAATTGCTAAAAAAGGGTGGTCTCCCACTGATGTTATTAGTGGAGCTTGGACTGTGTTTTAGCTGCTCTGGTTTTGTGCTGCCTGGTGCACACTGCAGTGATGCTTTTCCTCCTCATGCAGTTAGAGGTGTCTGCTCTGTGTATGCTGGTTTCGAAATACGCTACTTGAAATCATGGGAGTAGGAGGTAAAAGGACAGGATGGACAGGGGATGAATGAGAGAAGAGGGATATCAGGGAATTTAATTTACATTTGCCTGTAAAATAGGTTTAAAATAATGAAAATAAACTCTTCTTCATAAAATCCATACATAATTGTTGTAGGGCCCATTATTAATTTTCCCTTTGGTGATACTGGGTCAATTAATTATTTTGTATCCCAATGACCATTTCAGTGTTAGGTGCAGAAGAAGCAGTAGGAGGTTTAGGAGCTGTCCTGCCTCTCTTCTTTTTTTTCTTTTTTTGTGTAGCATCTCTGCTTGTTTTATTAGATGGTGTTTAAACCTGGTTTCAGGCCCCAGATTTTCTCACAAACCTGTTCTCTTTACCCTAGAAAGAAGACAGCAGATCAGTTTACTGACCTACCCAGGATCTGTTTGGTTCAAGAAGATTATTAGAGGGGAGAGAAGAATTTGAATTTACAACTTTTTCTTTCTAGTAATGTATTCTGTGTATCTGAGGAGAAATAGAATTATTTAGCTGTGTTATATCCATTTGACATCATCAGTTTAAGCTTGGAACATGCCTGGAAGCAAGATTGCCTCTGCAGCTTTCATACTGTTTATATGAGTAAATGATTGAGCATTTCTCTTTCCTGTTGTGAACACAAGTATAATTTGCTTGCCTTGATTTCTCAAATAATTATTTTTTTTTAATTTATACCATATAATTAATTCCCACATTGCTCTGCATTAATTATGCATTTCTTTCAACAAGGAAATAGTAGCATTCATTTATCTGATAGGGCCATTCCAACCAAGAAAGTTTTCAGTTTAGTCTTCACAGCTTTCTGGACATGTGTGGGTGATACTTAATATTAGCCACATGTGAAGGTTTGGTAAGATGGTCCGAACAGCTCATAGAGAGGAGTAAATTAACTCAATCTTCCACTACATCTTTTTCATGTTTGAAAATTACTCTGAAACAGAACCTCAAATTCCAACTTCACAGAGTAAGAGAGCAAGGCCTTGAATCCCCCTTTCTGAACCTTTCAAAATAATTTCAAAATAATAATTTACTAGACTCTTACTTGTGAATAACTGTGGCCTGGCAGCACAGAAGTTTCCTGTGATGGACTACTATCAAGGAAATTTTGTAGTCATTTCTTTTCAGCTTTCTCAGCCTTTGAACCACAGCTGGACTTTAATGCTGACCTGAACTTGTCAGGGCTCAGTTTCCTTCTCTTGTGAGTAGTGAATGTTTCCCAGTGAACAAACTGTAAGCTTTGCATAAATGGGAAGTTTAGGATCAGTATATTCACTTTCCCAGCAAGTAGTGAAAAATCAATACATAGCAGGCATCAAAGTGTCCTCACTGCATGGCATCTTACTGATACCTTATGACTGGAAATTGAGGCAGATGTGCATTTTGTACAATGTGCATTGTGCTTTTTCTGTGTGCAGTGTGAACAGAAATCTTCAAAATCAGTATGTGGAAAGACAAAACCCTAGGTTTGCCTCATCTAACTTCTGACACATTAGAAGTTCAAACTTTCTGAAGTTGCATGAGGATATTTGCTTCATTTGTGAACTGAGCAGCAGTGCCCTTTGCTGCTGTTGGAATGCAGGGTTACCCCATTTGCACAGAAGC